TACCGACAGATAGATAATAAGAGTGTCACCAACCTCAGGTTTGGAAAGCAGATGGGCTTTACTCATGTAGTCTTTGAGGTTCTTGAATGCATCGGCATATTCATCAGTCCATGTAATGTACTTCTTACTTCCCTTAAGTGCTTTAAAGAAATGAACACATATGTCTGCCACCTTGCCAGTAAGGTTCTGGATGTCTTTTGAAGTTACCAGTTCCTTCATGTCAAGGATTGCTTTTATCTTCTCAGGATTAGCCTCAATGCCTCGTTGGCTTATCATGAAGCCTAAGAATTTGCCAGAGCCTACGCCGAATGCACATTTGTTGGGATTCAACCTCATTCGACCTCTTCAGAATGGTGAAAGTTTCAGATAGGTTAGCAATGTGTTGGTCAGCATGTTTGCTCTTGACTAGTATATCATCAACGTAAACTTCCATACTCTTCCCAATCTGTTCGGTGAACATTGAATTGACTAGTCTCTGATAAGTCACTCCTGCATTCTTTAGGCTGAAGGGCATGACTTTATAGCAATATAGTCCCTTGTTAGTAGTGAAAGCTGTGTGTTCCTTGGTCTAGAAGGTTCATAAGGATTTGATTGTATCCTGGGTAAGCATCCATGAAGCTCAGGAGTTCACACCCTACCGTAAAGTCTATAAGTCTGTCAATGAGAGGAAGAGGAAAGCTATCATTCGGGCATCCTTTGTTTAGGTTAGTGTAGTAGACACACATTCTCCACAAGACCTTTTGAAGAGGAAAACTATCATTCGGGCATCCTTTGTTTAGGTTAGAGTAGTAGACCACATTTGCTACCCATGTTGGGTAATTGACTTCGCGGACGAAGCCTATGCCTTTGAGTTTTTCAACTTCTGCCTTCATTGCTTTGTATCGTTCAGCGTCATAAGATATTCCCTTCTGTCTCACCGGCTTGGTTTTAGGGTCAATACTCAAGCAATGACATATGATATCGAGAGAGATGCCTGGCATGTCCTCGTATGACCAAGCGAAGACCTCAGTGTTCTCTTGAAAAAAAAAAGATCAATGCCAACCGAATGCGTGGTGATAAGGTGGTGCCAATCTTCACCATGCGATCTGGATAATCTTTTGATATAGAAACCTTCTCCAGCTCTTTAACGGGTTGTGTTTGCTGGGTGAAAGAGTCATCTCGAGGATCGTCGGGTTTTCTGTTGCCACCATGAAGATCCAAGTTGGCTTCGTCCGGGCTGGACTTTATAACTTGGTCATGTATAGAAAAGGTTTCCTTGGGCACATGCAGGTGTTATTGCTTGACCGAAATGTTGTAACATGATCGTGCACTAAGTTGATCTCCTTTGATGTAACCATTGCCAAAAGGGGTTGGAAATTTCATCAACGACAAATGTGTGGATACCATATCCTTGAGATCATTGATGCCTGTGCGTCCAAAGATGACATTGTATACCGTTGGGCAATCAACTGCCAGGAAGTTAGTGGTAATGGTAGCTGTGTAAGGGCATGTACCAATGGTGAAATGTAAGTGTATGATCCCTATAAGTTGCACGATATCACAAGAGAAGCTTATCATAGGAGAAATCGAGCGATCGAGCAAGTGTTCAACTACATTAAGTGCCCTGAAAGCTTCAGCAAACATGATATTGACTGAAGCCCCCGTGTCTACCAGGATTCGTCGTACTTCAAAGTTGGCTATGTGAGCCTCCACGATCAGTGGGTCGTTTTGAGGGTAGATGATACCTCTTTCTTCCTCAGGGTAGAAACATATTGGATCCCAGTTAGGCTTTTGATACTTGCCTCCCCTGATGTCTTCCACGTGAAACACTTGGTGGCTAAACCTTAAAGCTTGTTTGCTGTTTTTCATGGCCCTATTGGAAGATTCAGATATGGGTGTGCCGCCGCTTTTGGAATATATCACATTTACTTCGCGTTGGTTACGGTTATCCCTTGAATGGTGATGAAGGAATCGATCAATTTTTCCTTCACGCGCCAAAGCTTCAATATGATCACGAATAGTGATACACTTCTCGCCGTCATGGTCGTTATGCTCGTGGTAGCAACAAAACGTGCCCGTGTTCTTCGTGGGCTTGTAACTCGACTGCCTCGACATTGGCTTCGATATCAGGTATGCTATGCTGGGGTAAATGGCCACGCAAGTGGTGTTCAAAGGTATATATGTCTCATACCTCGGGGTAGGGCCTGTCCTGACACGTGTTTGGCCCACTGTGTTGACTACCTGGGGGCGGGCATTATCGTGGCGATACCCTTGGTTATCGCGATAGTGTCCCTTACTCCTTTTACTAAAATGAGACTGGTGAGGATGGAAATCTTTCCTTTTGCCCTGAGGTTGCTATGTCTGTTGACTTGACGAAGTATTAAGTAAGGCAGGGGGAGGTACCGCTACCGTTTGGAAGGTCGAGGTCTTCTCATTTGGTTGGATCTGGCTTCCACTCCCTACTAACTGATAGGGGGTGGCTGTGGGGGGTTTCCTTGATATGTCCTTGCTTCGGCGGAGGCATGGTTGTACGCTTGTGTCATCACCTCAGAGTAAGTCTTCCAAGTGTTGGCATTGATCATGTACTTGAAGAAACAATCACGTAGGCCTGTCGTGAAGGCTTTGAGGGCAGTCTTGTCATCTGCCTCAGCACAACGGGAATACTCATGGCTGAAACGGCCATCATACATACGTAATGACTCGTCTGGCTTCTGGCGAATAGTGTACAAGTCATTCACAGAGTGCAAGTGATCGGTTTGGAAAATGTGTTGAGAAACAAACAGTTTCCTTAATTCCTCAAATGAGTCTACCGTCTCAGGTGGAAGACGGCAATACCAGTTTAGAGCTCTGTTAGAGAGGGTGGAGGGGAAGATAAGACATTTCTCTTCGTCGGTGTGCATCTGGTATGCCAGGGTGGACTCAAAGAGGTTAAAGTGTTCAACCAAGTCATTATTTCCAGTATAGAGTTGCAAGCCAAGCTTCTGCTTTGTCTTTGCTTGGAAGGGGGTGTCGAGGATCCTCCTTGTAAGAGAGGCCAGGCCTAGGTTGGTTCCAATCAGGTATCTCAGCTTGTCGTTCGGCCTTCAACTTGTTTACTTCCTTAAAGAGTTGTAGGACAAAAGGGTCCTGAGTGGAGTCATGTACCACTGGAGCTTTCTTTCGTAAATCACCATTTCCTCTTGGAAGTAGGAAAGTTTGATCAAGAGCATGTGATTTTTCCCTGGACTCGCCGTACTGACTTTCAAGGTATGTCTGTCGGAACATCTCTGAGTCCCCTATACCTTCGTGTTTTTCTAAGACTTGTTGCCCCTTCCCTAAATTAGTAGCCGACCTGGGACATGGGAGGGGACCGAGTCTTTCAGAGACCCTCATGTCTCGTATAGAAATGATGAGATTTCAGATGCCTGAATTTTTCCATTCACGTAACCAAGCTTTGATCTTCCACTAAGAGTAAGTGAAACTGCTCGTGACCATGGAAGATAGTTGAACTCATTCAGCAAAACTGAACTGAGTCTTTGATTTGGATTAACTTATACTTTAGTAAAATTTGAAGTGGGTGAAACACTAGAGTTTGCAACATCAGGACTGAGAGGGTTGTCCTCAGCCATTTGAAACAGCTATGGAAGAACAAAGAGGTTGTTGAAGATATGCAGAGACAAGTCACTATGGTCATTGCTCCGATACCATATTGAATTTCAAGGTTTGTATATTGATCATAAACTTTTACAAGAAGACATCTAAGCTCTTTAAAGAGCCAAAGAAATTGACTACAAAACAGTGGGTTTCAGCCACTACACAATCCCATGATTTTTGCCCTAACAACTGGACAAAAATAAGGACTAAAAAAACAATATACAAGTAAGGAAATCCCAGATTTTAGGGAAAAAACATTGACAAATGAGAAGTATGGTTGAATAAGAAATGAGATGACAAGTTGGAAGGTTGTAGTCATCACTTTAACCCATAACTTAGCTATAGTGATAATTACAACCCATATTTGTGATTGTGATCTATTCCAACATTTAGTGAGTAGCATAATTGCACCAGATTGCTTATGTGCTACAGTTGACTAGTTGTTTTCTATTTGCACCATCTCTTGTTTAGTGTTGTGCTACAAATTGCGGGGCTCTATGTTTGGTAACCACAACAAAACTTGTTTTGTTTCAAATCAGAGTCATTCAAAGCAGAAAAGCAAGAGCAGTTCAAAGCTGCTATGAAAAGCTAGCTTTTTTTCACAAAATATGAGTGAACAATGTCTTAATGGAAATTTCTATATGGCAATTCTACCATTCTCTCTCTATCGACCCTTTATGTTCATCAAACATGAGGGCGTTAAACGAATTGTTAGTGTAAATTGAAATATAGCTCAGTAAATTGATATTTTGGAAAAAGAAGGATCGAAGAGAGATGAATGCACAAGAGAGAGGAAATGGTTGCTTCTTTCTTTCTGCAAATCACTAAGAAAATATTATTCTCATTAATTGTTTCTCTCACTCCCACACAAGTCATGTAAAAAAGAATAATGTCGTTAGAAACTCTTAGCTGGATCACTCTCTCTTTAGAAATTGATCTCAACCACTCATCTAGCTAATAACTAGGATCATTACATATGGCACTCATGGCCTTACATATTTGAGCCTTACACTTGGCAATCTTAAGCACTAGTGACTACACAATTAAACACATGGCTTATTCACTAATACTAATCAGCTCACTGCTTATAATTCAACACTCCCCTTTAAGCTTTGAGTAGATTTCACTCCAAGCATGTCTTTGAGGTAGTTGAACCGATCCTTGGTCAAAGCCTTAGTGAAGATGCCTGCCAATTGTTCAATTGTTTATGCCATCCTGCAACGCATCCTTGACGAAGTGATACGTTCTATCAATATGCTTTGTCTTTTGGTGAAATACTAGGTTCTTAGTGATGGCAATTGCAAATGTGTTGCCACACTACAATGGAGTTGCTTCAATTTGAAGTTCTCCAAAATTTTCCAGTACAAATCTTAACCAGATTGCTTGAGCTATAGCTTTTGATGCCCATGAGAACACCCCATTTCCAAAAGAAAAGGCATAGCATGAGGTACTATTACTGTCTTCAATTTATCCCCCCATCGATCACTGTCATAAAATCCAATTAAGACTGCATTATTTCCTTTCACATACTTCAAACCATAATCCAGTGTTCCCTTTATGTATCTAAGTACTCTCTTAGCAATTCCATAATGATTGTTGGTGGGATGCACGAATCTAGCAAGTAAACTAGATGCATAAATGATATCAGGTCTAGTAGCAGTGAGATACAACAAGCTTCCCACAACACTTCTATATTGCTCTTCATTTGCAAATCCACTTCCATCATCCTTACTCAATTTTTCAGTTGCAACAAGAGGTGTAGTCACTGATTTGGACTCATTTAAGCCAAACTTATTCAACAAAGAAGAGGCATACTTCTTCTGATGAATGAAAATGCATGTGTTAGTTTGAATGACCCCCATTCCTAGAAAATGGTGTAGAAGACCCAAGTCTATCATCTCATACTTCATCATCATGTCTTCGTTAAACTCTTGTAACATCTTAGCTTTGCTTCCTGTGTAAACAATGTCATTCACATAAATGGATACAATCAATGTCATTTTCTCCCCTTGTCTTAATGTACAAGGTTGACTCACTTTGACTCTTCTCAAAATCACATTGAGCAAAATAGGTATCAATTTCTCCATACTAGGCTCTAGGTGCCTATTTTAAACCATAAAGAGCCTTGTGTGATCTGTAAATCTTGTCTTTTTTCCCTTTCACTGCAAAACCCTATAGTTGATCTACATAGACTTTCTCCTGCAATACTCCATTTAGAAATGTAGATTTCACATCAAGTTTGAAATAATTTCCAACTCCTCTGTGCAGCCAATGCTATGAGTGTCCTGATTGTGTCCAATCTAACTACTGGTGCATAAGTTTCATTGTAATCCAGCCCTGGTTTCTGAGCATAACCCTTTGCAACCAATCTTGCTTTGTTTTTTTGAACTGTACCATTCAAGTTTAGCTTGGTTTTGAACACCCACTTCACTCCCATAACAGGTTTGTCCACAGGTCTGTCAACAAGCTTCCATGTGGCATTCTTAAGCTTCCATGTGGCATTCTTCTCAATCATGGATAATTCATCTTTCATTGCTTTCAACCAAGACTTGTCTTGTGCAGCTTCCTCATACTTTTTTGGTTCTAGAATGCATAGATTACACTGAACAAGAACATCATCCAAATTTCTCCTTTTCAAATGTGTGTGATCATAAGGCTGAGTGACATCAGTGATGCTTTAACTGTTGCTAATTGATTCCCTTGAATGTGAAACACAACTAGATACTGGTATTTCTTCAATCTCATTCACCCTATGCACAACTTCATCTTGATCTTCTAGATATGATACAGAAAAATGACTCTCAGTATTTGACTTCCAATCCCAACCTGGCTCTGCTACCATGTTAGTATAAATTGAAATATAGCTCGGTAAATTGATATTTTGGAAGAAGAATAATATAAGAGAGATGAATGCATTAGAGAGAGAGGAAATGGTTGCTTATTTCTCTGTGCAAATCACTGAGAAAATATTCTTCTCATTGATTGCTTCTCTCACTCCTACACACGTCGTGTAAAAGAGAATAATACAGTTCGAAACTCTTAGTTGGATCATTCTCTCTCTAGAAACTGATATCAGCCACTCATCTAACTAATAATTAGGATCATTACACATGACACTCATGGCCTTTCATATTTGACCCTTACACTTGGCAATCTTAAGCACAAGTGAATACACAATTAAACACATGGCTTATTCACTAATACTAATCAACTCACTGCTTATAATTCAACACGAATCAGATGACCAGATGAGAAGAATAGGTTGGAGATAAGATTCCCTTAAATTTTAGGTGTTCATGGCGGCGGCGAGGAAGGTAGAGGAAATGAGGGGTGGGCTGTTGGTTTGGGGAATAGGGTTTTAGTGATCGTGGGTTTTGGGTTGGGTTTAGAGAGAGAGAGAGAGAGGTGGGTAGAGAGAGAAAGTGAGGGTGATGATGGCGGTAATAAGTGTAAAGGAGCTTCGATGATGATGCAGCTCTAATCGCAGAAGTCATAAATTACAGACAAAGAAGCGGCAACAAGGATGATCGAAATAAAGAGCGTAGGCAACGAAGAAATGAGGGTTTGAAGAGGAGAGAGCTTTGGAGTAGATGACATAATACCTTAGTGGCGAAAAACAATCATGTATATATATGCACTTTACTATGAGTTCGATCTCCACCAATCCTTCATTCTCCTAACAGCTAACAATTTAACACACTACCAATATCGTTTGTTTAAAAAAAAAAAATAGAGCAGAGCTTTAGGATTAAAGTAGTACCGACTTGCTTAACATTAATATGTAGATAGTTAACTAATTATTAGCTGTTTTATGTTATTAATCACTACTTTTTTTTTATCAACACTTCTATACGTACTTTGATCATTTTACATACACTTCCATACGTATTTTGATCATTTTATGCTGTCACAACAGTTTTACATACACTTCCATACGTATTTTGATTATTTTATGCTGTCGCAACAGTTTTACATAAAAGTTAAACAACTTTTTAGTTGCCTTTTATCGTATCATATATTACCAATAAAGTTCAAGAAATTTTATTCCTTTAAATTTTATATGTTCTAGGATTTGACATTTGTCGATCATTTCATATTATTTGTAACTGTATGTTGTTTTCAATTTCTTTCCGTTTTAAACTTCACAAATCTAGAGTGTGATCAGTAAGAATCACAAAAGCATAAAGTCTAGGAGTAGAATGAACCAAATGTCAAGTAATCCCCTCCCTTTCCTATTGTTGTTGTAGTATGAAATGATTAATATCCTTGCATTGCAAAGTAAGCCATTCCTTTATTCCAAATTTCCAACCCAAATCACAAGTACTCCTCTCTATATATCCACCTCAATCCTCACCCCTAACGGCAAAACCTCACCTACAAATCCAGCTTACAAACCCAGCAACAATGACAAACGAGTCAGTTAAACCCAGCAGCCACTCCTCAACCGATCACGGAGGCAGCAGGAACGACAAGCAACTGGACAAAGAAATCGGAGACATGGTCTCCGCCATCACCAACCGAGTCACGGACATCCACAAGTCTGGCTCCATCCACCACGAGGACGAGGACGAAGATGGCGTCAGGATCATCACCCTTGCAGGATCCAACACCGGAGCTACATTGAGGGGTGAGCTAGATCATGAGAACGTTAACAAACTTGCAGGGCTTCATGGTGGCGGTCCGGCTTTGGAAGAGGCTGATGGGCTGAGCACTTATGTGAACAGCAACTTCCAGGCCGTGAACAACTCCCTCATGATGGGCGGCAACTACACCACGAATGACCCCGGCGTTCGCATGGACATCACAGATGTTGTGGAGCCGCACGGCGGGCATTGTGGGAAGCCGGAGAAGCGGGGGTGGAAGGAGAAGAAGAAGGAGAAGGAGAAGGAGAAGGAGAAGGAGAGGGAGAGCTTCCATAGCGACCAGCATCATGATACGGACTGATGAGCTTATTATGTTTCTTTGTTTTTTTATAGAGTGGCTTAATTAATTACTAATCAATAAGAAGCCTTTGTATGGCTTTCTGGTTTGTTAAGTAATGATCAATTACTTTCACTTCCGAATTTATGTCTGTATTCTCTGGACTTTATCTTTGGACTAAAGAATCCAAAAATCATGATGAGTTTTAATTTTCTTTGTGGTATTTATTTGTGTAGTTGGCACAACGCTCGTTTCTTATCATTATGCAGTTGTTGAGAAATATTTTTGGTAAAACTGTCACATCTCTACGTAGTGTTATAAAATATTATATATCATCTACTCATATTAAAGCACGTAATGAGAGAGTGGCCGTCCATCATTCCTAAATTTTGTTCATAATTGTCACCTCAAAAGCCTATTTTGGAAGTGAATAATATTTGTTTTCTTACAAATAAGATATCATTTTTCCATGCATGATCACATGTCATCATTTCACTGTGCAAAAATAGTAACAAAACCGTTAAATATCTTTATAATCATCATCTTAAAATCATTTCTAGAAAAAATTATTTGATTTTGATACTATTTTAGTAACATATCATCATAATTAACTATCAACTTACTTGTTTCATATGGAGGACTTCAGACATGGCCTTTAGATGATAAAGAAATAAGTAATGCTATACTTACCACATTATTATACCATTTTTCTAATAGAAGTAACCAATACATGTGGGTCTTATCTCTAGAGAGATGGTACAAATATATAGTAAAAGTAGCATTTTTGTAAAGAAATGAAAAAGTTATGATGTTTGCAAGATGATAGAAATGACTCCATACATGCAAGAAGCTAAATAATGTTCTTTCGTGGTGCCTCAAATGACCATGCATGATACTCTTTGTTATCATCAAGCAATTTCAAATGCTAGAAGCTAGATTCCTGCAAAGCAGACTTTTAAATGGTGTGTTAAAAGTTTCACGCCGTAATAGGCTAAATTTGTTAGGAGTGTACCACGAAAATTACAAATATAGTGTTTTAGTAGGGAATTTTTAACAATCTAGTTTAAAATTTCTCGATGCCTTAAAGTCTCTCATCCGAACTTAAATTAAAATAATTTGTGATATAGCTAAGTTCAAAGATACATAGATTTTGAAAGTTTACTGTAAAACAAACACAATGTTACATATTTGATTTGAGATTGAGTTCTTAGAATATATATATCGAATATTTTAAGGTAGTATCAAAGTTGCTACGTTTTTCTCACCTTAACAAGAACTACTCATAATTTTGATCATTTTAAGTACGCGATTATGATGATGACACCTCATCATCTAATTTGTCAATTTTCCACACCAGAAACAACAACATCAAATGGTAAAGATCTCAGCTATAAAACCGGTAAGTTCTTCAACTATGTCTAACATATTTCATTACCACAAGTCTCACAAAGAACCATGGAGGAAATTTTGCAATCATCAGATAAAGAGTTGAAAAGTTTAATCTACTTTTATTCCGGTTATGCCAGCTGACTTTTCTTTAGAATCCTGCTAGAAGACCATAACAATCATTTGGGAGAAGAAAAAAATGAACGCTTGTGAACTTGAAAGCATATGCAGTTCGGCTTCAAGGACGCCGCGAATCAACGGAGACTGTGATGGCGGGTAAATGTGATTCCTGCTCCTTGATTGCTTCAGATTCCTGGACTAGTTTTGTCGCACATTTCTGCATCTCTTTTTTCTTACCCCATAGAAGAATGTACAAGCCGGCGATTACAATGACAGATCCTAACACGCTGCTCAGTGTCAATGCAACACAAATGAGGAAAGTTAGTACCACAAGTTGTAATCATATATAGGTATTGGCAACTGTAAAATAGATAGGAAAGTTCACCTTCCGAGGTGGAGTCGTTCATGGAAGATGGGGATACTAATTAGGGCCGCCATTATCTGCACAAGCGGGCTAAATGCTGCAGTAAACACTGGCCCCCGTTTCCTCACACACCATGACATCCCCACGAAACCTAAGCCCGATGCTATCATTCCCTGTGCATATATGCACCAATAGTGAGGCATATAGCTAAAGCATGTATAACATTTTTTCTTTTGGACAAAGAGATATTCTAAGCTACTCCAATTTCCTGGAAACGGGTGTATTGCATTGGCCAACTGGCATAACCTAGATTCGCGAAGTTGTATAACTTTTGGAACAAAGATACCAAAACCCCTTATTATTTTTATGTAATTTTAATTAGAAGAAGGGTAATACTTACAGAAAACAGGACAGTTATGACTTGTGTCCTTCCCCTCAGAACCCACATGGAAAGGTTCCTTCCGGTGCACACACCTAAGATTGCAGACTGAATGGCACCAAAGAAATTCATTATTGTGGTGCTAGAATACTGGCAAGGATACATCTTGCTAATGTTTGTTTGAACAAGAAACCATGAAGACCACAATAGGGTTCCGCCAACCAAAGCTATTGAACCAACCGTCCACCGCTCATGGTTTCGCGTTGAGCTCAGGTGGATGCCATGGTCTTTGGCTTGAGTACTAGTTGTGGATTTTGAGTAATCAAATAGAGGAACTCCTTTGTAAAGAGTTAGTATCAGAGCACCACCAATGCACACCACTGCACCGAATACTTTCGCTCTCCCGCTGTTGCATTTTAAGTTCACCGTCTCTAACCTGCAGGATTAAACGCTTGATTTCATTCAACAGCTCGTAAACAAGATTCACAGAACATGTAAATGAGAATGAGGTATTTGTGACTTTTTCGTACCCGAATGGTAACGCCACTATGAAAGTGATCACAGGCACCATGTTGACGAAGGCACAGGCAAAAGTCGCAGATGTGTATTGGATTCCGAGGAGAAAGAAGTATTGTGTTAGGGACGTCCTGCAACAACATAAAAATGTAACAATATTTTGGGCACATGAAAAAATGGAAGATTCGTAAAGTCTGTTTTGAGTTTACCAACCCAAGAATTGCACTTAAGAAGAGAAAACATGCGATGCGAAGTGTGAGCTTCGGTCTAGTATTCCTGCAAGCAAACCAGAAAATTCTTCACCAAGTTAAGGCAGAGAAATATCAAAATGAATTTCCATAAAAAAAAAGCGAGGGATGATATATGCTTGCCTACCTTTCCCCAAAGTAGCTAATTGGAGCTAAGAAGATTGTAGAAATTGTCAACCGGTACGTGATAAGAACCAAATGGTTCATTCCCTCATCAAGCACTTTCTTGAGCAGAATATTCACTATAGCAAATGAGAAATCGATTGCAATCATGACAATAAAAGGTTTCCATTCATCAAACCCCTTCGAGTCCGCCATTTCCGAGAGTCACACTAGGAAGCAGAGCTGAGCTAGCTAGGCCTCTCAATAACTCTTGAGTTTTTTCACCAAATGGTTCTTATGCTTAAAAACACACCAGAGGGCAGACCAATCTGTTGAGATAAATAGACAGGCTTCAGAATAAGTGGGCACAAAGCAAGATTAAAATTCCCCAAATCACATCACTGCTTTAAGCAACCAACTTTGACATAATTTAATATTTGATTTCCTTTATTTTTTACTTCCCTTTTTTCATTGACTGATACTTTCCAATGCATACAGATTAACCGGGGAATCGTTTCATACAGTTCTTCGGGCATCGAATTCACGATCTCTCTCATACAACCCTATCATAGAAGTTGTAGAGTCTTCATAGGCCATGAGGTTTCCCATCTGCAATTGTTTTTACTCTGTTAGGTTATGTTATTTCCATCAGGGAATCTTCTTTAAGTCAACAGTTTTACTAAATATATAGCTCAACATGGGCATCTATTTTTAGTGGTGGTGTTGGAAATAAATACTCTTCTACCTCCTCCTGTGCTTGGCATTGGCATCTAATACTTCGTCGAACCAGAACGAACAGCGGCCGTATATCATCAACACATTTTTTTAGAACATGTAAGTCAACAGTTTTACTAAATATATAAGCTCAACATGGGCATCTATTTTTAGTGGTGGTGTTGGAAATAAATACTCTTATACCTCCTCCTGTGCATGGCATTGGCATCTAATACTTCGTCGAACCAGAACGAACAGCGGCCGTAAATCATCAACACATTTTTTTAGAACAACATGTCAAATCTTCCCACCAAGAAATTTAAAGAAACGTAATGTTTGAAACAAGGGATTGTGATCAATTAAACTATGTTGATAACTAACCCGGGTGAGGTGAGTGAGATAAGGTAGGGTTAGATTAGACGGAGGTATAAATGACGTCTATCCCATAAAGTGCCACTAATCATTTCTTTTCTAGATCTGATATTCATTGTTCCTAGCAGCGTCAATAATATTAACAGGTAAAATGATAATAACAAAATATATTACTTATTATCTATACGTTACGGCCCTTATGAAATGTTTCCACCCTAAAACTTAAAAAGCAAAAAGAAACATAATGTTTAAAAATATGAGATTATGCTCAATTTACTTAATTTGATTTTTGAACACAACATGTATTCCTTATTAAAGGGCATACTGTGATTTGATAATATTAGCATATAACATGTCAATAACAAAACCTGTCAAAGTATTAATCGTACAAATATCATTATTATTGATACGAAGTCCAACCTCTAACAAAGAACATCATGCACACTGAATTTCTAACTAAATAACTACAGCAACTGAGCACTTAAAAAAATATTGCGAGGGCACTGTAGCTGATAGCTGAAAAGGCCAAAGATTATGGAATTAAAGTGCAATACTTTCATAGAGGGAGATAATGATCAAAACTCAAGCTTTCTGTTCATTTTTCACAATTATATATAGGCATGAATGAAAAGCAATGTCATCAATGATTAGGCTAACATTATTGAATCACTTAATCACCATGTGTAGTCAATATCTTTAAACTTAGTTTAGTTTTTTCTATTTGAGGCTCCTCTCTTTTTTCTCCAATTTTGTAGTAGGAAGTGATTTTCATACACATTTTTCTCTCCAAACGTTTTTAACTATTTTTTACCATTAAATTAACTGGATCAAAGAGATACAACCGAGATAAAGCAAATAGATCATTCATGGATCTCTTTCACCAAGATCACCGGATCAAATGATCTAGACCTTTCAAATTTCATCTAACGGCTCGCCTATTTTGACCCCTTAAAAGTTGTGATAATTTTTTATCGTTTGATGAAATTTGAAAGGCTCAGATCGCTTCATTCTATGATATTGGTAGAAGAGATCAGAAGATGATCTCTTTCCCTAGATAAAAAAGCAAAAGTGTGCAAAATGGACGTGCCCCTTTGTTACAGCTAGGATAACAATAAAAAATCCATACGTCAAATTATCTATTTTCTGGCAGTGACCAGGACCATCAAACAGTTACTTTTGTGGGATTACCATGGCCACTCCTTGTTGGGGACCCAAATTTGCATGTCCATATATACAACCTTTTTCTTCAGTTGCAGTTAATCATTTTCCACTTAGCCTTTAATTTGTCTCATGCATTGCATATATAAAGGTTTTAACTTTGAGTAGTGATCTGTCAAATTATTAGTACACAGATTAGTCGGTTGTTTTTGTTGAGCTTAGTCGTGTCTCTATTTCCCATTGGAAAAGGATCCTCGCCAATCCTTTTCTTGTAGATCTTAGGGATTCTATGATCGTGACTGTTTATCGTACATTGTACGGTCAATTTTTTATAAGTACTATTTATATTTAATTTTAAATTTTAAATTTTAAAATGATTTCCGATCGCACGATGAACGATGAATGATTACGATCACATAATTCCTAAAATCTTCGAAAAATATCCCGAGAATCATTTTCCTTTCCCATCATCTCAACTTTTTCAATCAATTAGTGGATATCTATCAACCCGAGGAAGAAAATATCTGCCTATATGCCCCCGCGAAAGCAACAAGGATGAACGAGTTTATCAAACGATAAACCCAGAATTACAATAATTAAAGAAAGATGTTCAACATAATAGCATGACTTTTACATAAATGGAGACCAAGTCCCAAACACAAACTATCACTTCTCCTTCACCAAGAAAACAATCATAATCCAAGGAAAATGATTCTAAGGATTTCATGATCGTGATCGTTCATCATATATCGTACGGTCAGTTTTCGTTATATACTATTCATATTTAATTTTAAATTTTAAATTTTAAAATAATTTATGACCGCACGATGTACGATAAACTGTCACGATCACAAGATTCCTAGGATCCCCAAGAAAAGGATCCGGCAAGGATCCTTTTCCATAATCCAAATATGAAATAAATTTTAACATTTTAAATATTCCTAAACTCTAAGAACTTGATTATGTTAAAGCGGATTATTCTGCCAAAATTCCAACCAAGGAACAATAATATGTTTAAAAAGTTAACTAGAACATATAGACATATTGTTGAGATGATTGCAAGTGTACTAGTGTACAATATCGCTCAATTAATATTTGAATATCATTCCAGCAAGGATCATATTAATCTAAATTTACTATTCTGCAAGGTTCTAAAAGGCGCTAAACACTAGTCGGATGGCAAAAATAGGCTTGGAGGGTTTTTTTTTTAATTTTAATTAAATTTATTATATACATATTGTATTGGATGCATGATGCAAAATAAAATGACATATAAATTATAAAGTATTAGAATATATTGAAAACATGGAGAACAAGCAAATACTGAGTGTTCATCCAAGTATTCAAATTTTTTTTTCACAATTTATAAGAAAAATAAAATGTCAATGAAAGTTCTCTATTTTCTATCTGAGTGAGAGTCGCGACCTAGGTGAGGTGCCTAGACGAGTCTAGCCGAGTTAAGCTGAAATTTTAGAACAATGATATTGTGATTAACTTCAAATTAAAATTAAGTTTTACATAAATTAAAATGATGATTTAAATAACTTAAAAATAATGAATAAAACCCATTAATAAAAAAAAAACAACCATGGAGAAATTTAAACAATTAAACGTTAAAGCATCTGACTTCACCTAACCAATCTCATCCAAATATTATAGCATAGTAATCCTAATTATTACCCATTGTGGGACCGTATTCTTTACCTCTCTAGAACAATGACTCACATGGCAGTCCAGGTCCTTATCCACTCCGACGACCATTCAGTAATGAGTAAGGTGATTGGACATGCAATGACAATTCGCTCCGACTCAAGATGGTTACCAAAAAAGGTCTTAAACGGGCCTCTTGACCGAAGTTCTAACTCCGCTGCTTGCGGACCGATCCTTTCAAGAGTCACAAGTAACTTGACTTCTAAGGACGTTTAAGCAATTCAGGTCCAAGGCACCATTGGTCCAAGTGAAACTAACATGAAAAAGAGGAAAGCAAGGTATTTCGGACAAGATAACGTCCCCGGGGTATTGTGTGAAATGACTCCCCCTACCCTTGATATTTAGGGCGAAGTGAAATTTTCCTAGGGTATCTTAAATAGGATAACCTCCCTGAAATGACACACTTCATGCTTGATATTTCAGGGCAAAGTGAAGGCTTTTCATCATTCATCATGGTATTCCGAATAGAATAACGTCCTCAAAATGTTCCACTGAATATCTCAAGATACCTCCAAGGGGCAAGCGTGCTCCTTGAATCACCAAGTGATTTGCACTCTGTGCCTGATATTTCAGGGTTAAGTGAACCTTTTTCACCATTCTCCAGGGAAATCTGGATAAGACCTCGTCTCCAGAATGACCCACTAAAGAGACCAAGATATCTCCGAGCCATCGAAATGAGGAAGGAATTCCTCTCTAACCCAACGACCTGGATGTCACTCCGATCAAGGTTGAGTATGGTCATGTGTAACTATGCCGTCCAAAGCAGTCTGTTGCATAGAAGGCATAGTTAGGGGCAATTGTGGGACCATATTTCTCAGATATCTAGAATAGTGGCTCACTTGCCAGTCCTGGTCCTCATCTCAGTCTGGGTTCTATCTGACGACCATTCTAAAATGACTAAAATGATCCAGACCATATAACGACGATTCGTTCCGACTCAGGATGGTTATCGAAATGGGCCTTAAATGAGATTCTTTATCAGATTCATAATGGGAATACGTGGCTTTCATCCTATAGGGTCCAACCGAAGTGCACCACGCAAAGTCTTAATAGAAATATGTTGTCTGCCGTTCCATAAGGCCTAACTGGAATGATCGGGGTGCACCATGAGGAGTCCTAACGGGAGTATGTGGTTCGCAACCCCATAGAGTCCAACCAGATTGCATATGCTGAGTCCTCATGGGAGTTGTGGTCTGCCACCCCATAGGGTCTGAGTGCATACGTGTAGGTTCTCCACATCATCTTTAACTAATTTCCATTCAGGTCTTATTATACCTATATTGCACATGGTATGACTGTTCTGAACCACTCATTTGACTGACTGGCCTGACTGTGCATTCAAATTCATGTTGTACATACTTCTGACTGCTATGAGCCATGCCTCTGATTGACTTGTCAAATTGTGGCATTCAGACTATGTTGCCCATACTCATGATTGCACAAAGCCATGCTTCTAACTTTAAATGCTTTGACTTTTTAGACAACCGGCATAGTAGTAGAATGCACAAGGGGTGGGTTCAAAAAATCGAAAACCAAACTGAAGCCGAAAAAAATCAAATCGAAAAAAAAACCGAACCAAAACTGCCAAACTGAATCGAATCGAATTTGGCTGGTTCAGTTTCAGTTTTAAGGTCCGGAAACCGAACTGAAAAAAAAATCATATATAAATACTCAAGTTTCAGGGTTTGAACCCTGACCCAAGTTAGGGATAATTGCTTCAAGCTAGCTTGACTGCAAGCTTTGTGTTGTTATAATTGTACCAGCAAGTTATTTATAGTTTCTAATAATTTAATGCTTTATAAAATTTATTAACTTTACAAAACCCTAGCCGTCTCACTCCCATAACCCATTTCAACTTTCATCTTTTCTCAAACACCCTCTCTCTCTCCACTCCGCTGCTTCATCTCTGCCTTTGCTTCCTCAGTCTCTCTGTCTCTCCCTTTCATTCCTCTCTTCCTCCAAATCAGTCTCCCTCCACTCTTCTCCTATCCTCCTCGCGGATTCCTTCTTCCAAACCATGATTTTCCCTCGCCCCTTTCGAATTTGAACCCCCTCCAAATTGGAAGATTCTAATTCGGGTTTTCCGTTCTCTCATAGGTAATTTTCAAATCAAAACGAATATGATTTATATTGTGATTTTCTGAATTAAAATAGGTTTTTCTTTTAATTATTTTGTTGGGATTTTGCATATTTTAATCTTCCAATTTGGCAACAGATGCATAGGTGTTGCCATGGCTGACGAGAGGTTTGGGACTAAAAACAAACCCCTAAGGTAAAAATCTCTCCTGGCTGCTTTTTAGTTCTTTTGGGTTTATTTTCATGGAAAATCAAAGAACTAACACATGCATGGGTTTTCTTTGCGAGAGCTCTCGGATCCACATCAAGAAAGACGCACCGACACCCAATAATGTCAGATCCATGGCTAATCGTCCCAATTCATATTCATTTGATGCAAAAGTTTTTGCATCTCAGATTTTGTTCCAGATTTTAAAAAAAAAAAATCATGGAAAAAACCGAACTGGATTGAAACTGAACCAAAAAAAATTGAACCGAACTGAAGGCGCATCGACTCCTCACAAAGGGTTAGTCACTTTTTCTCCACTTAAAGCATTTTGCTCATCTTCTCTATCTAATACTGACTTGATCGTCGAAGAACCTACGCCACATGTTCCTGGTTTCACGATCCTTTGCTTGTCTTTGTTCTGGCAGACTCACTCCGACTTCTGAAATTATCCACTCTGCCTAGAAGTACAACTTGCACAAAATTTGTTCCAACACCCATGTTGACAGTTGATTTTCCCTTATTTATTTGATATCCCTTTTCAGGCTTAACCAAAAGTATTCCTGATTAACAACTCATTCTTTTTCCAAGCAATGAATTTAGAAACCAAAAACCCATTACGTACCTTCAAAATTCCACAAAAAAAATTGCATGAGCCATGTTAGTCCATTCCCACTCATTCAAGACATGGTATTCGTTACTACAAACTATATATTATATATCTCATTTCGATCTCAACCTAATTTTTCTAATCAAATTATTAGTGGCCAATTAACTGCAAGTATTAAAAACAGTAACGAACACTCAATATGGAATTATAGTAAGAAATTAATACAATTATAAACTTCGAGTATCTATAGCTAGGCTACATCTTAACCCTAGCAAAAGAAAATTAGTTCATAATAAATTTAAATAAAAATATGATATAATCCGAAACATGGAAAGTATACGCCTAAATTCCAACTCAGCCACTTGACTCACTTCTGCGGCAAAGCTATGAATTCGAACTCCAGTTTATTCCTCCTTGTTCTCAGCCTCTCTCCCTCTCTGTATGTGTACCTGTAGGTGCTGGGAGAGTCCCTCAATATTTGTGTGTTCGCCTGTTTAATGTCGATAATAATTTAATTCATTGAATATTTTTTAACAGCTAATGGACAGTCTTCTATTTCTAAGTCTGTTTTAAACGCGGAGCGTTATAGAAATGGACCAGCATTTTGGAGAATAAGAGTTTGTGGTTTTAGCTTCAAAGTTTGATTATTTACTGTGCATTGCTCTCTTTATATTTACAAAAGTGGGCTTTTAGAGTCCTAATTTCTGCACCTTCATCATCTGGAAAAATTTCATCTCCGCTCTGTTTGCATTTCCAGCTTCAACATCTTCGACATGTAAACCTGGCTCATTTGGTTGCATGTCTCCTTTATCACAAACAGGTACTACTACCGCTGAACAAACTACCACTTCCTCTGGTGGGTCTACAAATCTCTTTTCACAAGAGCTTATGCTACTGTTACATACATACAGCTGTATCTATCTTTTCTTTAAATTGTCGAAGGTTTTTTATTTCACCGCTCTTAGGATTCATGGAGGCCTTATTCTTTTGAGTAGTTAAAGTCGTGCCCATAACCTTGCTTTGATAGGGTTTTGATCCCGCCCTTCTCATTATCTTGCCATTGATCAAACCTAGTTTCGTGTGTTAATTCTGTTGCGTGCTAGTTTAGTGTTTAAACCTCACATCAAGGACAATAAGATGTTTCGGTATCTGTCATTCACTTTGTTCCTTTTCTTCCAGGTAAAAGGGGGTGGCTGACTTAATGCGAAAATGACCAAAAGATGAGGATGATATTTCTAATGAACAGTTAATCTCTATTCGTTTGTTTTCAGAACGGTCTAAAACGAATTCTGTGCTCACATTTTACTGCAATCTTTTTGTTTTGCAAGTCACTTCTTGTTTTTCATTGTCACAGGCGCGCAGGCAAAACAAGCAGACGAGGACTGAATTTGAAGAAGAAAGAAGCATCGCGTTATGATGCCTCCTACAAGCAGTTCTGTTCTTTCAGTACACTTTCTTTTCATGTTGGTAATTGAGTTTGACAACTACAAATATCATGGGAATGAAAATAACTTGCTAGAATCCGAAGGTTACTACATGTTAAAAACATTAACCAGACCATATTACTACATGTCAAATATCATGGGAATGTACAAATATCGATTACATCTTCTTTAAGATGATCACATATTACTGCAACACACAAACAATAAGTGAAACTTTGGTATGGCTATGTATTAAGAGTAGTTCTTTCACTGAAGAACCTATGAATGACGTTCGGAAATGCCTAACCTAGTAGAGTACATAATTTTTTTGGGGGCACTTACTTGAAAGAATTGATTTGCCTGCAAAGACTAGCTTGTAGGTTAAAAATGGTAAAACGCAAAGAATTGCATTGATTATATGGATATGACCTCATCACCCCAGCACAGATGAGGCATAAAAAAGAGGATCCCAACTGCCATTAGCTCCTCCCCAATTGCTACTGTCACAGTGCAAAAACTGCTGCTGATCTGAACACCAAGCACCACCACCACCACCATTACCATCAATCTGTGACAGCTGCTGCGTGCCCGCCGCCATCACTTTAGCATCGCCAATGCTTGCAATTGGCAACGGAGGCTCCATAACGCATTGTTCTGGTACATACGGCATGTTGTTATTCGACCACGTGGACCAATTAGGCACTTGCTCATATGCTGCTTGACTCTCATTGGTCCACACCATGTTTGGGTTTGATGGTGTTGGACAAGGGTGAACCTGATGCTGCCACTGATTTTCTAAAACAATTGGGTCCTCCTTGTGCGGGTTCACGAATCCCGCCACCGCACCACGTAGACTAACTGACTCCGGTTTCGTCCCACTAGTTCCTTGTGGTGGTTGTGGGAGTACGCCAGTTATTCCCTTACCATCCTGCAACTTTGCTTTAAGTGCACCCAGCAACCCATCAGCTTCCACCACATTCCCACACACCGCCTCAAACGAAAAGGGCTCCACAATTTCCTCCACGCCCCCGGACCCAGCACTCTGTGGTAGCTCAAAATTGGTTCGGGCGTTGGCACCGCGGAGCGCTCGAGCAGCACCATCATATGCCCGAGCGGCATCCTCCGCAGTGTCGAATGTCCCGAGCCAGAGCCTCACTTTCTGTAGAGAGTCCTTGATCTCCGCGACCCATCTCCCAGACGGCCTCTGCCGGACTCCCACGAACCGGTGGTGGCCTCTCGTCGACTTCTTCTTCCTCCCCCGAACGCCGTCGTTTTGTTCCCGCAAAGCCATTTATAAAACCGTCCTCGTTTTTCTTCAGTCTCTGATTGAAACCGTCCGAGAACGGATTGCTCGTGGATTTATAATCATGGGTAAGCTGAAGAATCCGGGAGTCGAAGAAGCCGACAGATAACAAGGTGACAAAAACGTCGCCGTCCCAGTCCTGCAGGCTTCAATTGTTTTTAACGACGGAGGATTGAAATGACTGGAGAAATGGTCAGCAATAATTTTTTTACCATTTTTTTTTGTAATTTTGGTTGCATCATTGCATACGATATGTCGGTCCGAAGAGAGTATGAAAGGGCGGGAAATACCCAGAATACCAGACGGTAACACTTCGATTTTGTGACCCGGCGCTGTAATTTTCGATAATTGTTTGTTTGGTTTAAACGCTGTAAAAAATGTTGAAAATTTGAAATCATTGAATTTACCGTTTAAATTGTAACATGTTTATGTTTTTCACTAGTCGGGATTTGAACTTAAACACAAAGAGAACAGTTGCAAAGAAATATTTTAATCACCGAGATGATCCACTACTAGTACGATTAGTATATTTTGAATGTCTTAATAATTAGGGTGATTACGATTAGGGTGATTGCGAAGTTACCAAAAGTTAATGGAAAACACTCTAGAGAGAGAATTTAGCAGGGGTATTTGGAAAATTTCGATTCATATTTTTTATGATTGAGTGCGATGCTAATGATATTTAGTCTTACTACTCCAAATTTAATAACACTAGAAATTCATTGTATTTGATTGCTTATACAATGTCATGGTGTCATTGTCGTAATAAGTTTTGTTTTGTTGGCTATGGCCAGCTCTAATATAAGAAATATGAAATTATCCTAGTAAAGATAAATGAGTTTCATCCTAGGTTTCAATTTCAATGAATGAATTTGTCAAGATAGGAATTTTCTTTTTTTTCTTGTTTTTTAATTTGATGGTAGCGTGTGGTGGCAATATTTATGGAAACAATAGTAAATGAATTCAATCAAGAAAAGAGTACAAAATTGTGGAAAAATCCGACTTAAGTTTGGTTATAATCTTCAAACATGGAAATCAAGAATAAATCTTGGAGGAGAGTCCATCCAAACGCAAGGAGACTCGACTGTGAGGGTGTAACGGGCAAGGAGTGGGCTAACTCGTGAGCTTGGTGGTGAACATGGGTATAACTGACCTCAATGATCAAAGGAATCAATGATTTCATGTTCTTCACAATTTATTCAATGAGGGACGAATTGGTAAGAAGATCATTCACAGCTCCAATAATTTGAAGCGAATCACTCTCAACCTAAAGTTTTTGAAAATCCCCATCTATCGCCCAAACTAAGCTTGCACGAAACGCCAAAGCTTCCACTCGCAAAGGGGAGAAAACATTCTTGAAACTCTTGTAAATTTTGTCACGCCCCAATCCGAGATTAAGTCTGAATTTGGGATTAAGACGTGATTCACACTTTAACTAAATTAGCTAATCAAAAGTAATTAAAATGTGTAGACAGAAATAAAAATTAATAGTTATATATAGAAAGTCAATGTAAACATTGTGAAGCCAAAAATAATCACAAGGTGACATGTGGATTTTTGGATAAAAGAGGACAAAAATACTCTTGAGGCATATCAAGATTCATACACGCGAGCAGCGAGCAATCATCCCTCAACCAAGTCAAAAATGCCCAAAATAGGTAACAAATTCAAAATTATTTTATTCATCCTCATCATATATTCTCCACAAGGTAATTATTTCATAACCCCCAAAACATTCCATTTAAAATTATGTTAATTGGTCAATTAATAGATTTATTACCTAATTAATCTATTAATTGCCAATTAAACTACAAAATACACTCAAAAACACCCCAAAGGGCCGGCCACCTTCTCTCCAAAGGGGACCGGACATACCCTATATATACTACCCTATTTTCTCTAAAAACCTAGGTTCCACACTCTTGCAAAACTCCAAAAAACTCTCTAAACACTTTTCTCTAAATTCTAACTTTAGCATTGGAGGTTCTTCTGCCAAAGCACCCCCCCCCAATTCATCGTGGGCGCGTGAGGCTTTTGGCCTTGACCTAAGGTGTTAATTGTTTTGTAGGTGCAATTTTGTCCAAGAAGAAGAGGTCGGAAATTTGCATCCACAAATTGGTGCTTTCATTGAGAGAAGAGTCACACACTAATAGAAGACTCTCGCATAAAAAGGTTTTCTATTTTCTTGTCCATTTATAGATTTTTCGTACGTTCTTATTATTAGAATTTTTTATTTGCAAAGATTCTTTGATAAAACGTAAAAGAGAAATACAATGGTTAGAAATTTAGAAAATTCCACAAGTGAAAATTTCAATATTCAAGAAATTGGACCACGGCGATCCACGAGGCTAAATGTGATCATATGAGCGACACCATCGCTACGGGGCTCCACCATGGCAACCACCGCGGTGGGCACTGATCGGATCATATTTATATATATTTTTACTTCGAATTCATTCGTCTTTTCTTAGTTAGTTCCTTATATTTTTGAGCTATTTACGTTATTTTTGTATTTATAGGATTTGTTATGCAAAGAAAATAAAAATAGAACAAGTGAAATTTTATGTAATAAATTCGTCAAAAGTAAATTTAAATTACAATATTGCTAACCCATTGTGACGCTAAATGATAAACCAATATTTAAACTATATATTTCATCCTTTTTCTTTTCTTGTCTAATTTAGTTGGAAGCTTTAAGTATTTATGATACTTTTGATATTTTGTGTTTGTAAGAGTAACATGATCGAAAGAACTTATTTTTCTGCTATGTGGGGCTGCTAGAAAATAAATGAAAATAAAAGGAAAGACAGCGAGAATCCAAGGGAAAGAAGTGTGGAAGCTGTGTTGCAGCTGGAGGTGAAGAAAAGAATAAAGAAAGAGAGCAGTGGGGGTCAGCCGAGAAGATAAGCAGAAGAGGCTGGCAGCGAGAGAAGAATGGAATAAAAAGATAGGTGGAAGGCTGAACGAGGAGGTGCGGATGGAACAAGAAATATATAAAAGAAATGGGCAGGAAAGGAGGGAACGTGAAAGGTGCGGAAGAACAGCTGCTTGGCAGAGTGGAAGAAAATAAAGAAAAGGAAAGCTGCCTCTTGCAGCAAGGCAGAGAGTAGCAGGTGAAAAGGAAGCTGCTTTGCAGCTGGACAAGGCGGGCAGAGGAGCTGCTTTGGCAGCTGGATAGGTCAGAAACAAGAAGAAAAAGAAAAGTCAAAAAGCTAGGGGGAGGGCTGCCTTTGGGCAGCGTGATATAGAGGAGAGAGTGCAGAGGGAGAATGGACTGACGGGGAGAGCAGCACGGAGGAGGTCACAAGCTGCCTTTGGCAGCGTGACTGGCAGAACACGGAGACTTGCGGGGAGACTAGCGAGGAGCTGCTTTGCGCGAGAGGACAGAGAGAGAAGGCGGGAGCAGCGTGAGCCTCGGCAGGGGTTCAAAGAGCACGGACAGAAACAGAAGCAGCAAGCTTCTCCTCTTTCGGTTAAAACTTTCCAACTTATGTTTTACTTTTGGTTAAATGTTATAATAATGTGTAACTAAATTAATTTTGGCTAGAGGTTAATTCAAAGCCATGAATATATTTGTAATATGAATTGATTACCTTCAGTTGTGATTTCTGAGTTGTGATTTAATTTGCTTAACTGCTTGATTGATAACTAATTTGTGTATGTCGATTAAGAGTGCACGCTTAATTTTCATGCATGAATTCGATGCTAGAATATAAGGGAGTTTCACCTAATCGTTATGAACTTATATTCACAAGTAGTGAAGGTTGCTAGTCACAATCACGTTAAGTAAATTCTTGGCATAAGTTTCATGCAAATCATAGTAACGAGTGCCTCGTCAATGCTTATGTTTTTCATAGAAGTTAATGATTCTTACTTGTATCTCTATTATGCAATTCATGTAGGGAACTTGTAGGGAATGTTTTGGGTTGTCGTATGCAATCATCCAACCCAATAACTTGTGGAAAAACTGAGGGTTAATTAGTGCAATTCACGGTTAATTTGGGGCGTTGAGATTTACAATTTATTGAAAGAACAACTGAAAATCAATTTAGGTTGCATATGTGTCATGTGTGGAGAAGAACCCTCTAGCTAGTCTGTCACCTATTCTTTCACCTTAATTTCATGCTTTTGTCAATTCTGTAATTTATTTAAGTTTAATTTACTTTTCATCAAAACCAAACACCCCCCATTATTAAATTATATTATTTAGTTAGTTTTCATTGTTGTTAGTCTTTTAATTCAATTTCCGTCCATTTTAGTTCCCAGTGTCTAATTTGATTGTTTTCATTATTTTGAGTCATTCTAAGTGTGTTTCGAGTTATTAAGAGTTTTTAGCCTAGTTTTGTGTCCTTGAGTCTTGTTTAATATTTTTAAATTAATTTAGAATAGATTAGCAATCCCTCCTAATCCCCGGCCTAGAACGATACCCTACTTACATCTATACTACAATTGTCAAAAAGAGGGTTTAATTTGTGTGTTAACTTATTCTCACATCAGCCACCACGGTCACCACTGCCCGCAGCAAGGTCCATGACACCACTACCACGGCCCGAGCCGTGCCATCCAAGGCTCACGACACCAAAGCCACGGCCCAAGCCTTGCACTCGCATGCATCACGCGCTAAACAGCCTATTCCTGTCCTGTGGCCAAGCTGGCTCCTACAACCCAGCCTACTCCCGTAGCCCAGCCTGCTCTCATGGCTTCCCAAGCAACCCTAGTTGGCCTAAGACTATCTCAACCATCCGGACCCACCATTGAGCTGGGGGCATTTTCACCATATTTCTCCACCAATTTGACATTTCCCAACTCAAATCTCGTGCCTAAAGTCTACCACCCTTCCATTGCTTAAGGAGGCACATTCCTTCCAAGCATTTCCAATCCAAATGGCGAACAACACTTGTCCCGACAAGTCATAGAGTTGATGAGCGCCCTTGCACAACAAACAACCTTAGTGAATTAGCTCCTACAGCGCACCGAGATCCAACGTG